ACATATGTGCACACTCACATGCACACACATGTACACATGAGCTCTCTCTCTCTCTCTCTCTCACACACACACACACACACACACACACACACACACACTCCCATTTGAGACAAGGTCTCCTGTATTCTAGGCTGACCTTGAACTTGCTATAAAGCTGAGGATGACCTTGAACTTCAGATCCTCTAATTCTGAGCGGAGTTACAGGTATGCAAACCCCTCTCCCTCAGGGTAGAGGTAGTGGCTCAAGCCCTGAGCTTCCTTGAGCTTCCGCGGGTCAGATAAATATTCTCTCAGCTCTGCTGTATCTTCGGACTGGACCCATATCTTGTATCCACGTTTTCTTTGACTGTTAGGAAGTGCATAGCCACAAACCTAGTAACCTTCAGTGGCTAAGTCCCTCTAGCAGGTGGTGGGAAGGGTGGGGGTGGGTGGTCACGTGGGCTTGCTTATGTGGAAGGCTTATGGTTTATCCCTCAGGTCTAGGCTCTGTTTCTCTAGCTTTCATGCCCTTGTCTGCCATTATCTTTCTGTTTACATGATCTCAACCACATCATTGTTTGCTATCATATTGTATGAGGTTTTGAAAATGGCATCAGATTGTTTTGGACTAAGCCTGATGACAACAGAGGACCAAAATTCCACATCAACCAAGGAAGGACAGTGTGCATCACTGGGACAGACAGGACCTCAGTCAGATAATCATGGCGCAGGGACTGAGCCTGCCCCATTGTGCTCACTTCTTGATCACCAGATTGGGAAGGTCACTTGCCCTCTTTGAGCCTCATTTTTTTTTTATCTGTAAGATGGTTGTACTATTGGACCCCAAGTCTTGCCTGTCCAGGCCATGTGGAACTGTTCCAAGAGGTGCAGGATACAGGAAGGTGACGGGGTTTGCAAGACTTCCCTAGCTGCCTTTTGAGGTCATTCACAGAGTTGGGGGTGGAACTTCCGAGCAGGACCTGGAACGGGTGCATGGGGACTTAGGCAGCAGCAGCCTGGTGTGAGAGATGAAGGAGGTCTGAGCAGAGTGAGGCGGGCTGCCTGCTGTGCAGGAGCTCGAGAGGGAGGCATCAGCTTTCTACGTGGGACCAGATCAGAATCTCTTAGAGGTCTCCTGTGTTTGGGTGAAGAAGACACCTTGGTCCCTGGCCTGCGGGACACAAGACAGAACTGCATCAACGATTCTTTCAACCAGAGCCTGTTGGCAGCATTCAGGCTGTCCACCTGGGGATACACCTTAGTGGAGAGCATCCCATGAAGGATGCTCCACTCTGACCCTGCTTACTTCTTCTGGAGACGGACACTGTGCTAGCAAAATCACCAGCAAGGTGGCCTCCAAGGCAGTGGAAAATTCATGCTTGCCTAACTACACCCACCAAGACAGGCTTGTGTTATCCACTGTGGGTTAGTTACTACACGGCCTCACACACACACACACACACACACACACACACACACACACACACACGGTAGCCCTCTGGCCTGGGACTGTAATGAGGAAGGAGGAAATAAAACAAAAGTGATATCCCCACTCACGGAACTCACTTGAGTGTGAGCGAGCTCAGTGCAGGCCATCCATTGCGGTTTGCCCCTTCACTGGCCACACATAAGAATCCCATTATGGCCCTGCTGCCCTTTAGCTTGGTGACACCAATGGCACTTTTATTTTCTTTGCTTTGGCTTAGTACTGTGTACCTGTCATTGCCCCATGCACACTTAAGCTTCCCTTTTGTTCCAAGTTCCTTGGAGTGACAGTGTTTGTTGTATTTTTCAAGGCCACTTGCCAAGCCCCCTGACAATAACTGACTGGGGATATGGTAGCAGTTGTCAAGCAAATCCGAGGTCCTGAGCCATTGCCTTAAACTCTGTATGAACTGGTAATCTGGAGTGGAGAGACTTGGTGGTGCTGCTGGGTACGTAGGGATACAACTGAGCTCATTTGGAATATGGTGAACTCCTTGGCAAAGTGGGCAACAGATCATGGGCCTCTTGTTTTTTTTCCTTCCTTCCTTCCTTCCTTCCTTCCTTCCTTCCTTCCTTTCTTCCTTCCTTCCTTCCTCTCTTCCTTCCTCCCTTCTTCCCTTCCTTCCTCCTTCCCTCCCTCCCTCCCTCCCTTCCTTCCCTTACTCCCTCCTTCCTTTCTTCTGGACAAGGTTTTCATTAACCCAAGATGTCTTTGAACTTGCTATGCAGTCAAGGATGACCTGGGTTTATTTATGATCCTCCTGCCTCAAGTGCTGGGCTTCCTGCCTGCACCTCTACATCTGGTTTATGCTGTTCTGGGGTGGAACCCAAGGCTTCATATATGCTAGGTGAGCACTCTACCAGCTACAGGTTGCAAACGACTTGAAGGCAGCTCTGGGGGAGAGTTTGGGGTCTATGGTCTACTGACTGTCTTTGAAGCTGCAGGCTAGATGAACTTTTAGGAGGAAGAAGTGTTGAAGGAAGGGACATGGCCCAGGGAACACTTGCTTTCCAAATTCCCACCTTTCTTCTGAGTCCCCTGTCATATAGGTAGCACCTTTGGTTGGTGTCAATGACTCAAAGTCCAATTGGGGGACATTCTGGACTCCTGTGTTTCCTGTGTGCCTATTTCCCCAATATAACCGTCATCTATGGAGTTTCCTGGGGTCACTGACTACCTGATCCATAAAGTTCAGGGCCATTCCTCCTTTGTTCCTGTGTCTCAAGATGTAAACCCATCTGGCACAGTGACAAGGTTCCCTATGTTCTCTTCAGTGTAGATATTCTCTATGTTGAGTAAGGTTCTGAACCTATGTACGGCATGTTGTAACACATCACCGGGCCCTATGTGACAGTCTTGGGTTTTGTTCTACAGGCTCTGAGCAGATGTATGTAGTCCAGAGCCAGGGCTTCAGTGCAGAAGTTCTCAGGGTAGGGTCCTTCATTCAGAAGGAAGTGGTCTTCCTTTTTTTTTTAATGCCTAAGATCAATCTACATTTTGGGGTAGCCTAGTCCACCTGACTTGATCAATTTCAACTGAGCATTGCCTTGCTGTTTGCCTCCTGGTACATACAATCCCCACCCTCCAAGAATTGTGCAACTAAGTGTTAGACTGTAAGTCAGATCTGACTTGGGGGTTCACTTGATCACATCCTGCGCTCTCAGTAGCTCCTGTCTTTTTAGACTGCTCGGGCACTGGTGACACCTTCGTTTCATGGTCGTCTCTCCCTTGCAGATCCAGGTGACAACTGAAGGCAAGGAGACTCTCCAGCTGGGCATCCTTTCTGCATGACACTGCCCCAACATCAGCTGCTTGGAGCCATAAGCCTTCTGAGAGAGGAAACGGGTCCACCTCTTACTTCTGCCTAAAGGCCAATGACTGCCACTCTCTGACCCATCTGGAATTCAGCAAGAATTCTTAGATAAGCCAAACAAGTCTATGACTGTGTTCATGTGTATTCTGGCTTGGAGGTGATCTGGTCAACTCTCCCACATCTCCAACTTACCTGGGACCACATGCCCATGATCCAGAGGGGGCAGTTGTGACACCAAGCCCTTAGAGGTGCCCAGAACAGTTCTTTGTGCAGAGACTGCCCGAGAAGGCCCATGACAGTCTCCTTTATCTGGGGAAGAGTTGCCCTTGGATACCATTCAGTTTCCTTGTTCTTATTCTGTGCTCCCAAACAAACTATTGGGATATAATTTCGTCTCTCATGCAGACTCATTCTAAAGCCAAAATACACTTCCATTGTCAATGACTAAAATTTCCTGGTGTACTGATAGTCTTTGAGCGGTGTAATTAGTGCAGCTGGACTTCCAACAGTCTGGATGCCCTGTGGTGAGTTTGGTTTCAGAGTCTCTCACGGGTGGTGGTGCTATCCTTAATGAGCACCTTCCTTTAACAGCTGTCCCCGCTGTCTGAAGACCCTGGCTAGCACAGAAGTCAAGCCTGGAATGTGACTTGCCTTTGGATGAAATTAGAGGCAGACTCTCAGCCCCTAGTGGTGACTTCACAGTATCCCACTGGAATCAAGTACAGAGACCACGGGTTAACAGTGCAGGAGCCGAGCCGCTCTGGGGTCTTATGAGACAAGGCCCTCCTCACAAGGCCAGAAAACAGGCAATTCCGCTGAGCTGACCACTTTCCACCAGCCCTTTCCATCACAGAGAGTATTTTACAGATGCCAAGCAACCTTGTCAGAGTGTGTGTGTGTGTGTGGGGTCCATCAGAATCCCGGGATACAGAGTGGGGCATCCCAAGGAGTGTGGGGGCGTTTACGTCTCAAACCCAAGGAAAGGGATTGACTGGAAGACAGAAAGAAACAAGGGACAAGTTGTATACTTTGTCAAGCCCTGAGCATCATACAGTGTGGTTGCTGAGGACAAGAAATCAAAGCTGGCTGAGATGGTTGGGGGTGGTTTAGCTTGAGGTCCTGCGTTCCTCAGCTCTTGGACTGTGGCACCTGTGAGACCCTGATGTTGGTGGCCCATCTGTTGAAAGCTAGCATGGGTACATGGTCTGGGTGGGATGCTCCCTCATGCCCTCCACTCTTTAGCTAGTAAGCAAGGGCATTCTCAGTCCTCTGAGCCTTGGTGATGCCCACACGAGCCAACTAGGAGGACAGCCTGCCAGGATAAACCATCCCAAACACATGCCTTCCCCTTGGCACCATGTCTCTTATTTGCCCAACAACCCACATCCTGCTTCCCATAATTTCTTTCAGACTCTCCAAGATGAAAATCAAGGCCATTTTCAGGGAGCCGTTGGGAGTCTTCGATGCTCACCTAGAAGGAAGTTTTATCACTGTAGTCAGGCCCTCTGAATTGGGCAATAGCCAGATTGTTCATGCCACAATCAATCAAACACACCTAACCTTGTTCCCACGGATTAGCCAGGCAGTTAACTAAGTTCCTTACTTCCTTCATATCGATTTATAGCAGCAATAGAAATATACCACCCAGGAGGGCACACCTCCTTCCACCCAGGAACTTATAAATGTCAAGGAATTTCTCCTGAAATCGAGAGGAACCGGCACAATGGGGATCTCCACGGTCATCTTTGAAATATGTCTTTTATGGGGTCAAATTCTTGCTGCAGGTATTTTATCTCATTATTTATATTCATGAATTGTGCTTCTGCAAGCCTGGGTCCTGGTGGGTTAGATGAATTTGTTCATGGCTGTGTGACTTTCCGTCTCAAGAAGGTTATTTGCTGATAACTGTAAATTCTTGCAAGCATGCAGAAGGAATGCTCTGTTTCTGCCTGAGAGCTACAAATGGTGGCTGTGTGAAAAAGCGGCCATTCCGTCGATGTTTTCAGGGAGTCATTCAATGGAGGGAATGATTGGCCATGCTTAGACATCCCCAGGCTAGGAAAGGCTTACGGGCATTGAAAAGAGGCCTTAAACCTTACTAAATACACGGGTGGTGTGCTGTGAAGACGGACAGAGACAGCCTTCTATCAACTCTCCGCGTGTGCCTTATCTCTTGGCTGTCTGGCGCTGTGACCAATATTTGCTGAGCAAACCTGGGTCAGGTGACTGACAGACAGGACGTTGTCACGGCGCTAGTCACTTTCTTTCACTCAGTCACTCTGACACGGTTTCACGTTCTCAGAGTGTCAAATCATGAGCAAGGAAGACTTACCTGGCCAGTCCTTGGCACGGTTGAATCTGTGTCATCTCACAGAGGACAAGTCTGTCTACCTGCTTGCTCTCTCTCTCTCCTCTCTCTCTTCCCCCCTCTATCTTTTCTCTCTCTTTCTCTGTCTCTGCCCATCTCTCTCTCTCTTTTCTGTCTCACCATCTGTCTCTCTCTCTCTCCTCCCCTACCTTCCCCATTCCTGGATATCTTATTTCTTCATCTCCTCGTAGTCCTTCCTTCCTTCCTTCCTTCCTTTTTTCCTTCCTTCCTTCCCTTCTTCTTCACACATCCTGACTTCCCCCACTTTGGTGTCACTTTTGGCTACATTTCATACTTTTTCTAGATATCCAGATGAATTCCATAATGATCACCCTCTCCAGGCTGGGTGAAAGTCTCCTGAAGATGAAAACTCACTTGGGGGATGGCTTTCGTGAGAACCCCCTCTCAACACCAAACCCCCAGGCTTGCACTGCTGACCAAGGGGTTCTAGACTGAGGCAGCCTAGGACTAGACAGGCTGTCTTCTTGGAGACTGTGAAATGGGAGGCGGGTCCAGCTTTCAGGGTGACAGGCTTGCTCCGTCCCTGCCCAGTGACCTGAAATCACCAGTCCTGGAGGACAGATAACCAATTACCTTGTCCTGTCCACAGAGAAACAAATGCAGTAGCACTATGGGGCTGAGGGAGTTTGTTATTTTAACATATATGCTTATACACAGTTATACACGTGTACATGCATGTGTGCCTTCTTGCATGTTTATTCAAGCTTGTGGCTTCAGCGCACAGAGGCAAACTGACCCTCTTCCACATGAGCTTCTTCAATTCAAGCCTGGTGACACCCCAAAGTTAGACATCATCACCTCCATTGTTCATCTGGGGGACACTAAGGCCCAGGAGACAGGCTATCTGGCAGTTGGACCAGAGTTTGAACCCAGAGTCGGGTCTGTTGGAACTGCGATAGTAGCTATGGTGGGTTCAGCCACTGTCTCCTCATTCAGGGAGTAGAAGGGGCAAATCTGCTGCATGGGTGACCTCGGTGCTGTACAAAGTCAGGTGCATGGCTCACAGTGGGCAGGAGGGAGGCTGTGGCACCTCTGCTGCTCAGTGGCAGAGCCAGGAACACAAGAACATTGTTGGGACAGCAGCGGTGCCACAACCTCTCTCCTGCAGTAGACCTCAGTGTACGCATTCACAAATGAGGCGATGTCCTCTGTTCTACTAAGGGTTGTCAAGGAGTGAGGTCACCCAGGTAGGGCTACCAGGTAGAATAAATCTCAGGACGATCCATGTCCTATTCTAGACGTTCCCCTAATGCTGTATCCTTTAGGGTAGCATGGATCTCGGAGTATCTCCCAGAAGAGGAGACTTGGGAATAATCCAAATAAGACCAACCAGGAGTGGGTAGCAGGGCACTGCCTTGGATTGTCAGCTGTGACAAATGCACCGTGAGATGCAGGATGCTGTAGCTGGGCACAGGGAGAGAGTAAGTGGCCGTGGCAACTCAGTGGGATTTTTTGCTATGTCCTTTTAAATTTAAAATTAGCTAAAAAACAAAAAGAAACAAAAAATATTTTTAGCTTTAACTCCTTTGTTCCCATTCCTTTATAGCCAATGTTTTATAGGATGAGGGAGCTGCTTGTGAACACGTTCCTGGCAGGTTCCTTATTTGGACTTAGCCATCCTCAGTGTGGCTGAAGTTGTGTCCTATTTCCTAGGAAAGGCAGGGGAAATCTGAGCGAGGGCTTCCAGGCATTGTGAGTGGTGCTGGTTGAGGAGGCTTCTCTGAGTCGCTGACATAATGGGCCCCGAATTTGTCACAGCTGTTCCTTTTCAATTTCATCAGCGCTGTGCTAATACATCTCTGGGCCCACAGGACGACACCACTGAATGCTACTGAATATGGGGGACTTAAGGCTTCACCACAGTCCTGACTCCAAGCCTGCAGGCTGGCACCTCACAGTCCTGTGCTGTCTCTGTGTCTCTGCCCCTGCACACTGACATCTCCATGTCTCTCCATGTTCTTGCTGGTTCCTACATTGCTTATCTCGCGGAGACATGTCTATCTGTGTAACCCGGGCTGTTGACTTTCAAGTACTAATTCTCCAGCCTCAGTCCCAAAGTACTGGGATTGCAGTTGTGAGCCAGCATGCCCAGCACACCTTCTGGTTTCCTTTATTCTCCCTATTATAAAGGGTCCTGCAGGTCACTCACTGCACAGCGCTGTGGTTGCTACAGTGCAACCCCAACAGCGCCATCTGTAGCCACAGTCTGCTCACTCTTGCTGCTCTGGTCTCTAGAGCCAGTCTATTTATCCTCTCCTTCACTAGCTTGTTCTTCCTGCTCATTCTGATGGTCAAGGACATTGTTCCCCGTAGAAGACCCTTCCTGATTTATACTTAACATACTTAGAAACACACACACACACACACACACACACACACACACACACAGAGAGAGAGAGAGAGAGAGAGCTTGCATGAACAGAAATATGCAGAGAGATACATACAGCAACACAGAAAAACATACACATATATCCCCACTCAAAAATATGCACATGACAGTCAGATGTGACACAGAGACAAAGTTTTACATACAAATTGACAAAGACACAGGCATATAGGTGCACAGACACATACAAACCCAGACTGATACATAGAGACAGATATGGACATTAACAGACAAGCACACACATACACTGTATGTCACCCAGTGGCCATTCACATTCTTCCACTGCCTCTCAGCTAGACCTTGCCCCCTGTACAAGACTGGCTGTTGGTGTCTTCAGAGGCCTACTTATGTTAGAATTCTCAAGACGGCAGGGAACACACCGTTCTCACTTAGTGCCCGACTTAGTACATGCACCAAGAGCCTAACAATGTGCCTGGCTCACAAGACTACATTCCAACAAACAGGACAGAGAATGTAATGGTGAGCCACCCAACCTCATTCCTCCTGCCAAACTCTGTTGTTTCCATAATATATGCATATACCAACTCAGATATATGCACAAATGCTAAACCAGGAACAGCATTAACAGCATCCTCACCATTCCCGAGATGTTATCTCAGTCTCCATAGGAGGTTGGTTCTAAGAATTCCCTTGCTTATACCCAAACCCTCCCATACTCAAATCTTTATATAAACTGATGTGTGACCCACACTTGTCCTCCTGCATCCTTCCAGTCCTCCCCAGTTACAGCCCCTGATAGAACACCAAGGCTGTGTAAGTCGTCTCTGTGCCTCAGTACTCCTGGGATGAGGGTGGAGTGAAAGCTTCTGCCTGCTCAGTACAGGTGCAGGGCTTCCCTGATTTTATCATCCATTGCCTGTGTAATCTGTGAATTAAGTCATGGTGTAATGTGTGACGGGACCCATGGAGTCTGTGTAATCTGTGAAGGAAGCCGTGGACACAGAGCGCTGATTGGAATCTACTAGGGCTGTTTCACTCTTTTGATCAGTGAAAACAGAACCTCAGTGTTAGACTTTGTCTTTGGGGAGTCCACACAGCAGAGATGTAAGGCCTTTCAGTTTAGGACTTGGTGGACTTGACCTTGGGTGTTCCTGGTTGATCACCAACCAGGAATGCATAAGAGTCAGTGCTATTGCTCCCCATTTAGGTTTTCCCCAGGATTCCTGTGGGTGAAACACACAATCTGAATTTGCTTTATTCTCTTACAGGTTCACAAACAAGCTATCCAATACCTGGTGAGTACTTTGAAAAGATGGACTGTATCAATTTAGATCTTCCCCTACGTCATAATAACCACTGCCTCACTAAATGTTATCTAACCAGACAAGGAATCATTAAATAATCTGTGTCTGATCTGGACACGTAATGACAACAGAAGCTTCTGCCAGCTGGAGCATAAAGGGTCAGGTTCTAATACAGGTGCAGTCTTCAATCTGATGTTGCCCCTGCCTCAGATTTCAGTGTGTGTCAGAATCTAATCGATTATCTGAGTACATGGCCTGGAATTCACATCCTTCCCTCAAGAGATTCTGACTTGGAGATTCAGACTGGCTCAGGGGTCTGTGCTTTGGAAGATGATGTGTGACAATAACCTTCCCTTCTTCACACTCTGGGAAATCTTCTGCCGGGCCCAAGACTAATATTAGCAAGGTTACAGGGCCATTAGTTTGCTGAAACTTCAAAAAAACCAAGAAAAATAGGTACACGTTCTCTCTCTCTCTCTCTCTCTCTCTCTCTCTCTCTCTTTCTCTCTCTTTATTTTTGAGGTCCACGCAGGTCACACTGACCTCAGACTTGCTGTGTAGCAAGGCTATCTACCCTTGGACTCCCAATCCTCTTACCTCTAATTCCAGAGTTCTGGGATTCACGATGGGCCACCCTTCTTAACTCTTGTTAATCATATCTGAAATGATGTATACTTCATCTCCATCCCACTTGCTTTTATTTCCTTTTAGAAAAAAAGATCAGGACCTTGGGCAATGGGCATAGCCAAGATTGAACCACAGATTCCCCTGTCCCTAACAGGAGTGTACAGTGCAGTTGAGGCTAATTTTGTAACCTGTATGAGTCTGTTTCTAAATAGTGGGTCCTTTTTCAGCTACTGGTTGGGTTGGGATTCAGTTCGCTTTCTGTGGCTGTGATAAAACACTGGCCATAAGCAACTTGGAGGGGGAAGGGTTTATTTGGCTTTCAGGTTACAGTCTGTCTTCCAGTGAAGCCAGGGCAGGAGCACGAGGCAGGAACCTGAAGGAACTGATGCAGAGGCCACGGAGGAGCCCTGCTTGCTGATTTTCTGCCACATACGGAGCTAGCAATATTATACAGCACAGGCTCACCTGCCCAGCTCAGTGTGCTGGCATTCCCCCATCAATTATTCATCAGGAGAATTTCCCACAGACATGGCCTTCTGCAAATGTGATTTAGATAAACCCAGCAGTTGAGACTCCTTCGCTGTGCCAGGTGACAGCGGCGCTAGCTAGAATAGGTGCTCAGCCCTGCTGCTCCTGCTGCTGTCTGCTGGGATCCAAGTGCAGCTTTGGGTACAGAATCAGGGATGGAGTGGAGATGAGAGGCGTGGGTGTCAAGCTGCTGGGCAAACTCCACCAATCCCTGTCCTTCACCTTCCTTCTCCTCTCTGCCCTTCAGTCACTTGATGGGTGACATTAGCTTGAGCCTAGTGTCAGAAAAGCTCACTGGAAACACTCATCGGTTCTTCCTTGTACAATAAGAGCTGTTCTTGCAAAGGTAAATAACATCATCAAAGCTAGATAACTTGTTATGTACCCCAACTTAAAGAGTTTTCATGTATGAAAAGGATACATCAGAATTTAAAGTAGAGACTTGAGAAATGACTTAGTTATTAAGAGCACACACTGTATTTAAGTTTAGTTTTTTTTCTTTCTGATTTTTCTGTGTAGCTCTGGCTGTCCTGGAAGTTCCTCTGTAAACCAGGCTGGCTTCGACCTCATAGTCTCTGCCTCCTGAGTGCTGAGATTAAAGGCATGTGCCATCACTGCCCAGCATAGTTTTAAGCACCTATATTAGGCAGCTTATTACCACCTACAACTCCAACACGAGTGGCTCTGACACCCTCTTCTGGCCTCTATGGACACCTGTACTTATGGGCACACACCCCACACAGACACTTGCCCGTGCACTTAATTAATAATAAAACAAATCTATTACAATTGAAAATATTGCACATAGTCAATGCTCAACTAATACAGGTAAGATGTGCTATTATCATGAAACCTTAATATTTTGAGGTATGAATCATTAATCCCATTTTGCAGATTGAAAAAACAAGACATAGTTAGATAATTTGACAATATTTGCAAGTCTAAAATTCTGTGGCTGAAAATGGAAAGTTGTGTAGTGGTGTTTCATTTGGATTTTAATAAATAAAGTTTGCCTGAAGACCAGAGAGCAAAGCAGCCACACTGGTTATCCTTACAGGCCAGACAATGGTGACACACACCTTTAATCTCAGTAGCCTCATTAACTTGCCATAGAAACTGGGCAGTAGTGGTGCTCACCCTTAATCGTAGAACTAGAGAGGATGGGAGGAGACAGCTCTCAGCTCAGTCTCATTCTGAGGTTTTTCTGGAGGCAGGATCATGTTTTTGGACTGAGGTGAGAGCCAGTGTGGCTTTTTACCAGTTTTTTTCCCATTCAGGGCATGCCCATCGCTGTCCTGAGGGCTCATCTGTGTTCCCTGGTTTTTCCTTGAGTTTCATCCTGACACAGTACATGTATATTTTAGTTACTTTCATGCCCTAAGTGCTTCAGCATTTTCCAGGAATTGTGGTGCACACCTTTAATGCCAGTACTCTGGAGACAGAACCAAGTAGTTTCCTGCAAGGTCAAAGTTCAATATTCTCTACATAAGGATTTCTAGTTTAGCCAAACCAATATGGTGAGATCCCCCAACTTTCTCCCCCCTCTACACACACACACACACACACACACACACACACACACACACACACACACACACACA